CAATCCATACCTGCCAAGTGACCCTATGTAGGGGGAACAGTCCCTATTCTGCTCTGTGTCAGTGTGTATCAGGGATCCTTAGGATAAGTGTCAATCCATATCTGCCAAGTGACCCTATGTAGGGGGAACAGTCCCTATTCTGCTCTGTGTCAGTGTGTATCAGGGGCTCTGAGGACAGGTGTCAATCCATATCTGCCAAGTGACCCTATGTAGGGGGAACAGTCCCTATTCTGCTCTCTGTCAGTGTGTATCAGGGGCTCTGAGGATAGGTGTCAAACCATATCTGCCAAGTGACCCTATGTAGGGGGAACAGTCTCTATTCTGCTCTGTGTCCGTGTGCATCAGGGGCTCTGAGGACAGGTGTCAATCCATATTTCAAGGTGTCAATATGTCATATGTCAGGTGTCAATCCATATCCATTGTGATTTAGGAATGTTAGGTGATTTATGCCCTTTATGGATTAAGACTAGACTCTGCATCAACTGTGTAATTTTCCATGGGAGTTTTGCCATGGATCCCCTTCCGGCATGCCACAGTCCAGGTGTTAGTCCCCTTGAAACAACTTTTCCATCACTATTCTGGCCAGAAAAAATTCCCTGTGTGTTTTAAAATTCGCCTGCCCATTGAAGTCTATGGCGGTTCGCCCGGTTCGCGAACATTTGCGGAAGTTCGCGTTCTCCGTTCGCGAACGTAAAATTTAGTGTTCGCGACATCACTACTTCACTCCCAAAAGTATTTAAAGAAAAGCCATTGATATGTTATAAAAGGAACAGGAATCTGAAGGACATGTTAGGCCATACGGACCCCTCCCAAAGTTATATGAAAACATCAAAGGAGCAAATAAGAGGGCCAGTTAGATGCCTTGGTTGCGTGACTTGCAGCCATATGACACCTGCAAGAACTTTTAGTCATCCTCATAACAACAGAAAATATACTATCAGATATACCATCGCCTGTAAGATTTATAAACTATGTTGCCCTTCTGGCTTGTTCTATATTGGTATATAATAACAAAGTGCCAGCGCTATGTGCAAAAGCCTTCTATTGAGGCAATCTATGTATGTGTGGAAAAAATAAACAACTTCTCTCTATAGGTAAATGATGTCTAAACAGCACTTACATATCACAGTAAGTTGAATTATACACACAAAAATATATATTAAAAAAATATATATTAAAAGTTTGCAAAAAGAGTCCAAAAGTTTCTTTGGGTTGGAGTCTTTTAAGGGTTAATCCTTTGTTGCAGTTGAAATGGTAACATCCGTGGATACACTGAAGCACTTTTGTAGATTATACCTTAAAAGGATACAAAAAAAGGCTTTGCATAGTGTAAAACTGCTTTAATAATAAAATATGGATCTTGAAAAAGCCTGAGAGAACAGGCGAAACGCGTTGAAGTGCCAACGGATGCAGAGGTTTTGATGATGACAGCCTGCTTTTGAACTTACCACACACAGACACAGTCAGCCTGTATGCTATACTCCACCCCCTCAGTGCTGAGATCGGGCGGGAGTTTTGAACCATCAGGACCAGTGGACGGTAAAACAGCTATTCATACCTCTGATTCTGTGAAAACCTGATTGTGATATCTTGGAGACAAGTATCACTATTTGCTAATGTAAGAGTCCATATTTGGGGGAAAGGGGATCTCTTTTTATTATTAAGTCCCCTAATGCTATTTTTAATGTGTGGTTTTTTTTCTTTACTCCTTTCATTTTCTTCTTTTTTTCTTTTCCCTTTTCTTCTTTTTTTATGCCCTTTATGGATTAAGACCAGACTCTGCATCAACTGTGTAATTTTCCATGGGAGTTTTGCCATGGATCCCCCTCCGGCATGCCACAGTCCAGGTGTTAGTCCCCTTGAAACAACTTTTCCATCACTATTCTGGCCAGAAAAAATTCCCTGTGTGTTTTAAAATTCGCCTGCCCATTGAAGTCTATGGCGGTTCGCCCGGTTCGCGAACATTTGCGGAAGTTCGCGTTCTCCGTTCGCGAACGGAAAATTTAGTGTTCGCGACATCACTACTTCACTCCCAAAAGTATTTAAAGAAAAGCCATTGATATGTTATAAAAGGAACAGGAATCTGAAGGACATGTTAGGCCATACGGACTATGCAAAGCCTTTTTTTGTATCCTTTTAAGGTATAATCTACAAAAGTGCTTCAGATGTTACCATTTCAACTGCAACAAAGGATTAACCCTTAAAAGACTCCAACCCAAAGAAACTTTTGGACTCTTTTTGCAAACTTTTAATATATATATTTTTAATATATATTTTTGTGTGTATAATTCAACTTACTATGATATATAGGTGCTGTTTAGACATCATTTACCTATAGAGAGAAGTTGTTTATTTTTTCCACACATACATAGATTGCCTCAATAGAAGGCTTTTGCACATAGCGCTGGCACTTTCTTATTATATGTTATTTAGGTAAGATTTTTTAAGGAATTTTATTTTGTGTCTAGCTGCTTGTATATACCATTATTTATTCTATATCATTTATTTACTACATTTGCGCTCTCCTATTTAAATAAATTTTTATTGTTCTATATTGGGAAGACGGAGACGGCCATCTGTGAACGGATCAGGGGACACAGATCGGCTATTCGACTGGCAGAGATAGCTACTCAGACAAACCTGTTGCAAAACATTTCTTTGAATTAAAACATCCATTAGCTACATTAAAATTCCTGGCGATTGATCACATCCCTGCCCCTGAGAGAGGGGGTGATCAGGGGAAGATGCTCCTGAACAAATAGGCATACTGGATACACGCGTTGGGCACGGTGTCCCCAAAAGGACTAAATGAAGCTTTGTCTTTACACTCTTTTGTATAGTTTGAATCCATACAGTCCTTAAGTCCCCTAATGCTATTTTTAATGTGTGGTTTTTTTCTTTACTCCTTTCATTTTCTTCTTTTTTTCTTTTCCTTTTTCTTCTTTTTTTCTATTTTTCTTTCTATTAACTGCTGGATTTTTTTTGTGTTGTCCTCGGCTTAAACGCAATGTTGCATGCTTTTCTAATTAAAGTATCTTAGGTATCAGTAACTATTTTAAGTGTTTAACACATGATATCTGATACCCGATATAATAATATTTTTAGCTAATATTGAGAATATATATTCCTTAAGTGACAGATATAAGTTTACTATTTAGTTTATAATCTTTTTTTCTTTATGAATATAGCAGTTGCAAGCTGTTTTATTTTAAATTGACATTTTTTGTTCTTTAAATTGAAAATGTTGTTTTAATAAGGTGGCACAATACCTTATTTAGCACTAAAGCAATATATCACTTTAATAATTGTCACTTACATAGTCATAGCACTTTACATAGTGATGGATTTTACACTAACACTTTAACAGCAGTAAGCACTTTACTTCCATATATTGTTTTCCACACATTATCGTCCTATGATACCCTTAGGTGTTTCACCATTCATAAAATGTCCGTTCACATAATATTTTATAGTAACACTATAATGTGCGATTATAAACTTAAGCCACATTAGATTTCCATAGCGTGTTACTATGGCAACAATACACAATAATGTTATGCCAGGGGGTGGGTTAGCCTCGGCATATGCGCTTAGAATAGAATCCTGATTGCAACACTTCACGTTTGGCCACGTTTCTATAACGACAGCCGCACACGCATGATGTCACATTTGGGGGTGGAGTTAGCCTCGCACATGTGCACATTTCCGGGTTAGACGCCAGTTACAACACAGAGCACCTGGGGTGAGTCTATTTACATTTTATTGTAAATATATATATATATATATATATATATATATATATATATAGTCTTTTGTACATTGTCTGTATGATCCTGATGAAAGTCCTCAAGTAGGACTGAAACATTGATTCTTTTAACAAGAATGATTAAAAGTTATATTTTATGGAATCCGTGAGTGCAGCCTTCTATTACAGCCATTTGGATATTTGGAGCCCTGGTACCGGTCTTGGAAATTGGAGTCTGAGTGCAAGGTACAGTTGTTATTTTTATATATATATATATATATATATATATATATATATATATATGAAACAAAGGGGAGTTGGCTGCACTCACCTGAACATGCACAAATGGGGGTGCTGCTGGGGGCCAAATTATACAATACACAAGATCCAGCGCACTCACCTATCCGCTAAACAGCAACTTCAATGTTGAAAGATTTTATTTGTTTTTTTAAAAACACCTAATCTAGGCAAAAATAATGGGGGTTTAGTTACATTATATGATCATACATTGCATAAGCCTGCCACAACGTCAATGTACACCATCTTTGGCAGGTCCTACACTAACAGCCTAATGTCTGCTCTTATGAGATTAACCCACTTACATGGGAAAAAAATTCCATCTGGGGCTCTCTGCAGTACAAGGCTAAATAGGGCCCTGGGATGAGGCACCTGTGACTTTACATAGTGATGGATTTTGCACTAACACTTTAACAGCAGTAAGCACTTTACTTCCATATATTGTTTTCCACACATTATCGTCCTATGATGCCCTTAGGTGTTTCACCACTCATAAAATGTCTGTTCACATAATATTTTATAGTAACACTATAATGTCCGATTATAAACTTAAGCCACATTAGATTTCCATAGCGTGTTACTATGGCAACAATACACAATAATGTTATGCTAGGGGGCGGGTTAGCCCCGGCACATGCGCTTAGAATAGAATCCTGATCGCAACACTTCACATTTGGCCACGTTTCTATAACAACGACTGCCGCACACGCATGATGTCACGTTTGGGGGTGGAGTTAGCCTCGCACATGCGCACATTTCCGGGTAAGACGCCGGTTACAACACAGAGCACCTGGGGTGAGTCTATTTACATTTTATTGTAACCTATATATATATATATATATATATATTGTCTTTTGTACATTGTCTGTATGATCCTGATGAAAGTCCTCAAGTAGGACTGAAACATTGATTCTTTTAACAAGAGTTAAAAGTTATATTTTATGGAATCCGTGAGTGCAGCCTTCTATTACAGCCATTTGGATATTTGGAGCCCTGGCACCGGTCTTGGAAATTGGAGTCTGAGTACAAGGTACAGTTGTTATTTTTATATATATATATATATATATATATATATATTTTTTTTTTTTTAATTGGGGTAGCCCCCAAAATATTGGGAGATATAAAAAAAGACAACTCTGTTCCGCAGAGTAGCTGTTGACATTATAGTTGCGCAGGAACTTTGTTGACTCTAAAGAATCTCGGGCAAATCGCACATGCCCGTGGCGGCGACTTTGCATGCGGATGTCATCCATATCAACTTTTGATGCCAGTTTCTGCGCCTACCATCGTGACCATGGGTAACAGGGAATCAGGGTTCTATTCCGTACAGGGACCCTGAGAAACGGCTATCACATGCAAGGAAGGCAGCAGGTGTTCAAATGACCCACTCCCGACGCGGGAAGGTAGTGACTCTTTAGAGGCCCTGTAATTGTAATGAGTGCACTTGAAATCCTTTAACTCTCATCAATTGGAGGGAAGTCTGTTGCAGAGCCACTGACCTGTGCGTGCTGCAGCTGAAACTCCATTATCGCCTGCTGCTGCTCTCAAAGTCTCATGAGGCGGTGAGCAGGAAGGGCGGAGTTATGCTGCAGCGCAGACAGGCGAGCAGCAGCAGGGTGACAACACCAAAAGTGTGCACAGCCGCTACAGTGAATGTCACATCCTGTTCCAAGTTGCGGATGAGTCTGGTGATGGCTTCTGGTATCAAGTACTCTTTTTACTGAAGCTGCATCAGGGTCCTGGTATGTGGCCGCATAAACGCTGGTGCTCAACACCAGGGGGCCTGCGGTTACCCTGCACCAGACCCTGCTAATCCATTCCACACTGTGACTCCTAACTTCAACATCAGGCATACTGGGTCTCGGTTATCCGACCGCCGCCCAAACAGTATCTGGGTCCTGGTCACCAGACTGCCCACCTCACTGTGAAACTACGAATGGATTGTTAAATCTGGTATGATCCCGAACTTTGCAGTTCGGGTTCGCTAGACTCTATTATGGATCCTTTGATTGCTACATGTATTACTTGGATAAGTGGTAATTCTCAAGCTAATACATGCCGATGAGCGCTAGGGAATGGCCGCTCTGCTTTTGCACCCTGCTCCCTCTTATGCTGTGCTGGTGCCTCTGTGTGACCAGCGCCTCTTCCTTCAAACTGCACACGTCACTCGCATGACCTTGATTCCATGTGGGGTCTAGGACCTCATCATCCTCCACATCATCTTCCACCCACTCCTCAACCCTGCCCTCCTTCCCGGTATGCACACTGCAGAAAGTCACAGCAGTTGGCACATGTGTTTTTCCAGCATGTAAAGTCTGCAAAGTACATATGGAAATTGTTTTAGAATTTCCCTATAAACTGACCTCTCAGTTTAACTTGTGAGGGTATTGCCCCAGAATTACAATATTGTTGAAGTACCTCTTAGCTATTGATCACTCGTTTAAATATAGCAGCTTGTTATCTGGTAGTTTCTTGTGTAGAAAATATCAATCTGTTTCCTATCACTTAGGAGTGTTGTAGGTGTGAAACAATATTACAAGTGACAAATGTAGTAAATTCGAATAAAAGTTACGCTTCGATTTGACTCTCAGATATGAAGTGAATACCCCAAATATCCTATTTAGCACAAACAAAAATTTACTTTTTAAATCTCCAATGTAAGCAGCACATTAGCAGCAAAACAATTAGAATGTTTACAAGTGCACAGTTAGCGCACTATTAGACGCTTCGATTTGACTCTCAGATATGAAGAACAGGCCCCAAAATGTACAATTTAGCAGCAAAACAATTAGAATGTTTACAACTGTGATGTAACCGCAGTATTAGACGCTTCTATTTGACTCTCAGATATGAAGTTGCACGCCCCAAAATGTACTATTTAGCAGATTAGCACCCAGAAAATAAGAATGTTTACCACTGCGCTGTAAGCATGTTTACCACTGCGCTGTAAGCACACTATTAGACGCTTCGATATGACTCTCAGATATGAAGTGCACCCCACTAAAATATTATTTCGCAGTTTTTGACTCTCAGATATGAAGTGCACCCCACCCCACTAATGTACTAGTTTGCAGAATTATTTTCTAAGCTGTCCCTATCAGCAGCAGCATCCTCTCCCTATACTAATAAGACCGCACATGCTGCACTGTCCAATCACAGCCATGCCATTAGTAGGCATGGCTGTGATGGCTTCTAAGGGCACACGAGTCAAACGCTTGTTGATTGGCTGCCCTGCAGCCTTTGAAAACGCGCCATTAAATCGCCGAACACCGAACTACAACCCGAACATACAGTGATATGTCCATGTTCGGGTCCAGGGTCCAAAAAACCTAATGTTCGGTACGAACCCAAACTTTTGAGTTCGGGTTCGCTCAACTCTATTCATAAATCAATATACATTTAAGATAGTAAAATAAGGTTCACTGGTTACAGTGGTGGTGACTGTTGTGACAATGTGTTAAATAAACAAATCACAATCTAAATATTTTGATATTGTTTTTATATGAGTGTTATGTACCCTATTAAATATTTGGGGAAATGATAGCCATTAGCTTAGTCATGATTAATTTAATTGAATAATGTTTTGATATTGACCTATAACAGGTTAATAGTGAGTGAGAGCTTGGGGTTAGGAACTAAACATTGGGCAGATACATGGCAAGTGTTCTCCTCGTGTCATTTGATATCAACCAAACGTGGCAACATCGCATTTGGCAACTGCGCACTTGTAAACTTTACATTTTTTTGTGAACCAGGAACTACTTGACATTTGATCTGGTTGTAGAAGCCACATTGCAGTGGCTTTATTTTTAATACTCTACATCCTGGTTCCCGATTTTATAATCCAGCATACGGGAGTGCAGTCCCTAACTGCACAGCGCCTACACATTTGAGGCTCCCTCTTTGTAAGTACCCATTTGGGGAATTCATTCTTATTCCAAGATTACAGACTGTGCTACGCAAAAATGGGAAATTGCTACGTTTAAAAAATACATAGATGAACGTATAACACCCCGAGGCCTGAGACTTATGAAACTACCCACTTCAGATCAAGATGACATTGAATTTATGAACGAATGGAACAACAAGTTAGAAACCTGTACATTTGGTCTTATGGATACGCTAATTAAGAAAAAAAAGCAATAAACTATCTAATCTGGATAGAGAAATTAATGATCTCAGAGAGAAACTTATGCCCTTCACAGAAAGTAATGTGTATCAACAAAATTCAGTTTTAATTCAAAGTAAAATTGAAAAAATAGAAACAGACACCAAGCACATTAAAGTCAAAAAGTATATCAGAGATAAGCAAGATTATGCCAATCGACAGGTTAGAACATATCATCTGAATAAAAGATACATGGTTGATAATTCGCATGCTAATACAAGAACAGAGCCTCATCAATACCAAAGAGCCACCACACACAATGCACGGCACGAATCTTCATATAGAGCCACTACACACAATGCACGGCACGAATCTTCATATGCCACCAAAAATCACTCTTCTATCCCTCACAAATCTTTTCACCATTCTCTTTATAGATCTAAACCTCATTACAAAAATCCAAATTCCCACTATGTTCCCCTATCCTATCACCGTCCATCATCATATACATCACGGAAGACTCCATACAACACTTCCAATTATCAGGATTCCTCTAATCGGTATTACAATTCACGCAGTCCTGACACTCAATCACATTCACCTAAAACACATCGATCTAATACCTTTTACAAAAATCACTCTGATACCCCTGATACATACTAACAGATATCAATTATTGTCTATTGACTCTGAAATAGAGAATGATGATCATTTTTTAGAGATTCAGACACACCCCAGCACTTTTATCAATACACCATATCCCACAAGAGCAAAAAAAAAGAACTCTAAGCCCAGAGGAAAACGGAGTGGTAGAAGAGAGCAAAAAAGAGAGACTAGAAAGATAAAAAATACCCTTAAAGAATCAGATGTCGGCATTTTTAACCTTTCTAATAAAGTTTTAAGTGCAGCACAGATTTCTGTTTTAAGTAAAGGATTGAAGTATGCACCAACTAATTCTTTTAAACCATTTGAAGCATTTTTAGATGTAAATAAATTTGTACGCAAGGCTACGCTTAAAAGATTTTTTACAGCACAAACCTCAGATATTAACCCTCCCCTTTCCTGTTCCCCTACACCCACTGACCAATCTACTTTTATTAACACAAACTTCAACCCTAAATCTACGTTTTACCCATACCATTTTAAATCAGCCCCTCTGGTGATGTTTGAAAAATCTGTTCTGAAAGATCTTAAAATTAAATTTAATAAATATGATCTCCAAAATTTAAATACATCAGAAAAAACAGCTATTAAACAACTCCAAGAGGACAAAGAAATAGTGATCAAACCGGCCGATAAGGGTGGAGGTCTTGTAATACAGTCTACTGACATGTACATCAAAGAAGCTTACAAACAACTTAATGATATTAATGTATATGAAAAACTAACTAAAGATCCTACTTCTAATATACAGCAGAAACTAATCACTTTCTTACAAAAAGGTTTAAATGACAATATTTTGAATAAAAAAAGAATTCGACTACTTATTTATTAAGAATCCCCAAATTCCGGTTATCTACTTTCTACCCAAAATACATAAAGATGCCAAACACCCTCCAGGAAGACCGATAGTATCTGGGATAAATTCTCCTTTGTGCAATTTATCTCAGTATATTGACATTCTACTCCAACCATCAGTTAAATTAATGAGGTCCTATTTAAAGGACTCTATGTCATTACTGAGATATTTAAATGGATTTGAGTGGAAGTCGGATTTTATACTTGTCTCCTGTGATGTTACGTCCCTGTATACTATTATCCCCCACCAACTTGGATATAATGCAGTCAGAACTATTTTATCAAATGAAAACAAAATCCCAGCTGCCCAGATTGATTTTATTATAGATGGTATTAATATTATTTTCAACAATAACTACTTCTGGTTTAATGACTCTTTTTATCTCCAGAAAAGAGGGACAGCTATGGGGACCAGGTTTGCTCCTAGCTATGCCAACCTCTTTATGGCGGATTGGGAAACAACCGCCATTTGGGGACGGCATGCCTGGGAGCACAATCTGGTCTCCTATTTCAGATACATTGACGACTTGTTTTTTATATGGAAGGGCTCAGAAGATTGTCTGAATTCTTTTATATCACACCTCAACTCTAATAGTAGAGGCATTATTCTGACTTGTGAATATAGTACAAATTCAATTAATTTTTTAGACTTAAATATTTTTATTAAAGACGGCAAAATACATACGAAAACATTTTTTAAGAAAATATGTATCAACACTGCAATTGATCAAACTAGTTGCCATTATAAACCATGGCTTGAAAGTGCTCCAAAAAGCCAATTTTTGAGAATACGTCGCAATTGCTCTCAAATAAATGATTTTAATGAACAATCACTGGTTTTAAAAAAACAATTTATTGAAAAGAATTATTCCTGCACACTTCTTGATAGTACTATAGACACAGTCAGAAACAAACCTAGAGAAAGCC